GACTTTGCAAATTCTGAGACTGATAAAATACGGATTGACCACGTTACCCAATCCAGGTGGTAGCTTTGTTGCATGTTACTCCCTGTAACTGATGATTGAATCCCCTATTTTTGCGCAAACCTTTGGGTTTATCATTCATTTGAATTCAATGGTGAAAGAATGATGGCGTGAAAATTTATCCTATAACAATCAATGTATATGCAAGATTATTTCCTATGTCAGGCAAAGATGAGCATGCAAAAGAATGTAGACAATCATAAGCAGTTATACACAAATAATTGAGAACAACCAAAAGGTTCATAAAGATACATTTTGCAAAAGAATATTTGTAAAGAACAATACAATTTTAGCCAACGAAAATCATATTCAAGACTTTGGATATTTTGCTACGGAATCCGATACTGGCAAAAGTATCACAAACATGAGGAAAAACCCCAAACGAACCAGGTCATCAGCTATTCCTTCTCGCGCTCGTCTGTTGTGAAAAACCCGCCTTGGCGCCCTTTCGGGTTTTCACCAAGGTTGCCCCTACCCTTTTTGTTTTTGCTTTTTCTTTTCCTTTTTTTTTCTTTTTCTTTTTCTTTTACAAGGCGCCCTTTCGGGTTTTCACCTAAAGAATAAAAACACATCTCGACCATGATCGACTCAGAAATATGAGTTAAAAGGTTTCAGGCATCAGTAAAATGCACTTCCCTCGTAGATTTGGCGAAGGCATTACGGACATCACTTGCCAGTTGATTATCAAATTTTGCTAATAGAAATGCAACAAATGACGGAAGCCAGGACTTTGGGTTTTGTAATGAGGTCAGGTAGGGTGTTTTTCCAGAAAGGTTAAGGCTTGAAAGCAAATTCGATGCCAGGGGTAAAATAAACTGGGATTGCCCTATTTCGAAATCATTTCCGATTTTGAACGAAACCGGGAAAAATTTGCCCCAGTTTGGTCGGACTTTCACTCTTTGCATTTTCTTCATTGCATTTTCCTTACTTTTGCACTTTTCTTTGAAAACTAAATTTGCCCCAGTGTGGGGTTCTTTTTTCTTTCTTTTGCTCATCTCTCTTTCAAAATTAAAATTTTGCCCCAGTGTGGGGTTTGCAATTCTCAGGGGTTATCAAACGAAAATTTTGTCAATTCTGATGGCTCAAAGGGGACAAGTAGGGATAAAATATCTTTTAAGTGTAAAAGAAGATGGCCTGACTTGCATTTCGCCATTTGCATGAATTTCTAAAGAAAATTTGCATGATCAAATGAAAAACTTTTTGCACATATCTGAGTTGATGGGTTGAGGGAATGCTCGTCCATCCATTTCTGCCAAGATAAGAGCTCCGCCAGGTAATACCTTTTGGACAATGAACGGCCCTTGCCAATTTGGAGCAAATTTGCCTTTAGCTTCATCTTGCATCGACAAAATCTGCTTCAGTACCTTATCACCTTCTTCAAATGCCCGCCGATGGACCTTTTTGTTGTAAGCCCGGGCCACACGCTTCTGATAGCACTGACCATGACAGATAGCGTTGAATCGCCTTTCATCGATCGACGTCAATTGTTCATGGCGCTGCTTTATCCAATCAGCCTCTTCCAATTTAGCTTCCATGAGGATTCGCAACGAAGGAATTTCAACTTCGGCTGGTAATACAGCTTCCATTCCATACATCAGTGAATATGGCGTTGCCCCAGTCGATGTCCGGATAGAAGTCCGATACGCCATTAGTGCATAAGGCAACTTGTCATGCCAATCGCGATGCCTTTCAGTCATTTTGCGAATAATCTTTTTCAAATTCTTGTTCGCGGCTTCTACGGCTCCATTCATCTGAGGCCTATAAATGGCGGAGTTGTGGTGTCTGATCTTGAATTGCTCGCATAGTCCATCCACCATGTCATTGTTCAGATTTTTGGCATTGTCAGTGATAAGCGTTTCGGGTACCCCAAAGCGACAGATGATGTGATCTCTCAAGAAATTGGCAACTATCTTCTTCGTCACATGTTTGAATGATTCCGCTTCAACCCACTTGGTAAAATACTCAATCGCCACCAATATAAATCGATGTCCATTTGAAGCAGGAGGATCGATTGTACCAATCACGTCCATACCCCACATTGAACAGGGCCACGGGGCGGTCATGCTATGCAACTCAGTGGGTGGAGCGCGTATAATGTCACCGTGCATTTGGCATTTTATACATCTCCGGACAAAGTCTATACAATCACGCTCCATAGTAAGCCAGAAGTATCCGGTTCTCATGATTTTCTTTGCTAGCAAATGGCCATTCATGTGAGGTCCACAAACACCACTGTGCACTTCTTTCATCATATATTGAGCTTCATCTTCATCAATGCACCTTAAGAGGTTCAAATCTGAGGTTCTTTTATACAAGACTTCTCCACTCAAGAAAAATTTTGAAACCATTCTGCGCAAAAAACTCTTATCCTTTGAACTAGCATGCTGAGGGTAAGACCCCGTTTTGAGAAATTCCTTAATATCCTTATACCAAGGCATATTATCAGAGGACTCGTCTGCAACCCAACAGTGGGCAAGCTTGTCTTGAAGTTGAATCTGGATTGGTTCGATTTTCAATTCATCTGGATACTGGATCATAGAGGCTAAAGTGGCCAAAGCATCGGCAAATGCGTTTCGGGCTCGCGGGAGATGTCTGAACTCCAAATTTTGAAATTGCTTGGCCAGAGTGAGCAAACTACAATGGTAGGGCAGAATTTTTGAATCTTTGGTTATCCACTGCTTCAAAGTCTGATGCACGAGCAAATCTGAGTCACTGAAGGCTATCAACTCCTTGATTTCCATCTCTAAAGCCATTTTGAGACCAAAAATGCAGGCTTCATACTCAGCCATGTTGTTTGTGCAAGCAAATTGCAATTTGGCTGCGGCAGGGTAGTGTTTTCCTTCGGGCGAAACCAGAACAGCTCCAATTCCAGCTCCTAGAGAATTTGAAGCTCCGTCGAAGAAAAGCCTCCATTCAGGGCTCTGCTCACTTATATCATCTGCAGTGCCTACAAATAGGACCCTCTCGTCAGGGAAATAAGTACGGAGTGGTTGATAATCATCATCCCTTGGATTTTCCGCCAAATGATCAGCTATAGCTTGCCCCTTGACAGCTTTCTGTGAGGTGAAAACAATATCGAACTCCGAGAGGATTATCTGCCATTTCGCCAAACGCCCAGTCAACATCGGCTTCTCCAAAAGATACTTCAAAGGATCAGACCGGGAAATAAGATAAGTGGTATGGCTCAACAGGTAATGTCTCAGCTTTTGAGCCGCCCAGGCCAATGCACAGCAGCTCTTCTCGATGAATGAATAATTAGCCTCGTACTGTGTGAACTTTTTGCTTAGATAGTAAATGGCTTGCTCCTTCCTTCCAGAGTCATCGTGTTGCCCCAGAACACACCCTACTGCTCCGTCGAGCACCGATAGGTACATGATCAGCGGTCGGCCCGGTTTGGGTGGCACCAGGACCGGAGGCTGCAACAAATAATCTTTAATCTTATCGAAAGCTTGTTGACACTCCTCATTCCAGTACAACGGCACATTCTTTCTTAATAATTTGAACAACGGCTCACATGTGGCCGTTAATTGGGCAATGAACCTCCCAATAAAGTTGATCTTTCCTAAGAAGCTTTTCACGTCTTTCTGAGTCTTTGGCACTGGCATTTCTCGAATCGCTTTGATTTTTGCCGGATCTATCTCTATGCCTCTCTTGCTCACGATGAAACCCAACAATTTACCAGCTGGTGCCCCAAAGGCGCATTTCGCAGGATTTAACTTCAAACTGTATTTCCGCAGCCTTTCAAACAGCTTCCTCAAATCATCCAAGTGGTCCTTCGTCCTTTTAGACTTGATTATGATGTCATCCACGTAGACCTCCATCTCCCGGTGGATCATATCATGAAATAGGGTTGTCATGGTCCTCTGATACGTTGCTCCAGCATTCTTTAAACCGAAAAGCATGACTCGGTAGCAAAAGGTACCCCAAGGGGTAATGAAAGCAGTCTTCTCCCTATCCTCTTCTGCCATCAAAATTTGGTGGTAGCCAGCAAAACAATCGCAAAAGGATTCAATCTCATGTCCGGCAGTATTGTCTAAGAGAATGTGAATATTTGGTAGAGGGAAATCATCTTTAGGACTGGCTTTGTTAAGGTCTCTATAGTCAACACAAACTCTCACCTCTCCACTCTTTTTTGGAACAGGGACTGGGTTGGAAAGCCAAATTGGGTAATAGGAAACAATGATAATGTTGGTTTTGAGTTGTTTTTCAATTTGCTCTTTTATTTTGAGGCTCATATCTGGTTTGAATTTTCGGGGTTTTTGTTTTACGGGTGGAAAAGAAGGGTCTGTGGGCAACCGGTGCACTACCACGTCAGTTGAAATACCAGTCATATCATCATAGGACCACGCAAATACATCCTGGAACATAGTCAAGAACTCAAGCATTTCCTTTTTCTGGCTCTTATTCAAATGAATACTAATCTGCACCTCCTTAACTTCATCTTTAGTGCCAATGTTTACTGTTTCTGTCTCTTCCAGGTTCGGTTTCGGTTTTTCCTCATATTGTTCAAAGTCCTTTGCAAAAGAATCGAACACCTCCTCATTATCACTCTCGCTTTGAAGCTCGGATTCACAGACCTCCAAGTCGTGAGTGATATAGAGATTGCCATTATCGAATTCCAAAATAGTAATATCCAACGGGTCAAACAGTTTTATTTTTGGCCATCTGAAAGAATTAACGAATGTGGGGCAATAAGCAAATAAACATACAACAAACAAATGAAACAAGCAATATGAATATAAACAAACGAATAAACAACAACATGTCAAGAACAACTTGTGCATTTTCATAAAACCCTTGATTGAAAGCAAAACAAAAGAAAGCAAACGGAAACAATATTTACATATGCAAATTTTAGCCAAAAGTAAAGATGCTTTCATTAACTATTTACAGATGCAAAAGTATTTTTCCATGAATCCATATGAATGACAAACCCCCTAGATTTACCGAAACTCCTTCTGAACAGGCAGGAACTCGGCAGTCCAATTAGAAATAGACCCCTCAGGGATGTCAGGAAATTCGGCCTCGCTCGGGAAATTGTCTTCAAATATTGCCCCAACGAACAATTGGGACAAACTATTCTCGATTTCTTCAGTTGAATTACCCTCTGATGTGATTATTTCAGTTGGCCGGGGAAAAGTATACCACAGTGGTGGAATATCGAAAACCCTTTGCCGGCCCTCCTTTTCTGCTCTTTTACGCTCTTTCATCTCCTTGAAATCCTTGGCGGTTGGTCTGAAACCCAAACCGAAGGTATCTCTCTTTTCTACTATCTTCACTGGCTTCAGGATCCCTTGCAGTTCACGCCCCAAACCCTTGTCGAATTTGTATCCTCCACGAATCATTTCTCTGGCCATCATTACACTGGCTTTTGAGGGAGTTTGTTCCTCCGTGGTTATCCAACTTACGGAGACTATATCGGATGTGCTGTGAGGGGACATGGTAACACTTTGACTACCCTCCTCTTTAACTCCAGAATCGGTGATCACCAGGCAGTCCTCTTCAGCAAAGATAGTGATTAGCTTGTCATTTACCACGAACTTGAGTAATTGATGCAACGAAGACGGCACGGCCCCAGACTTGTGAATCCATGGCCTTCCAAGTAAAATATTATAAATGCTTGGGAAGTTCATGACTTGGCAAGTTATTTGAAACTGGGCGGGCCCCATCTCGATTACTAAATCTGCCTCTCCTATCGGCTCCCTTTGAGCTCCATCAAACCCTCGAACGATAGTCCCTGAAGGCCTCAGCTTGATGTCTTGCAACCCTAGTTTCTCTAAGGTACTCCACGGACAGATATTCAGTGCGGATCCATTATCGATTAACACCTTAGGCAGCATTTTTCCGTTGCACCTCACTGTTATGTACAACGCCTTATTATGTCCAATGCCCTCCGTCGGCAATTCATCATCAGAAAAAGCAATTTGCTTCTTGAATAATACACTCCCCACCACGTTTGAAAAATTATCAACAGAAATGTCTCTCGGAATTTGAGCTCTTGTTAATACATCGATCAATGCATCCCTATGCACGTCCGAGGAGAAAAGTAGGTCCAACATGGTTATCTGGGCAGGTGATTTGCTTAGCTTTTCCACTATGTTGTATTCACTTCTCTGGAATCGTTTAAGGAAATCCACGGCTTCTTTCTCGGTAATTGTTGGTTTGAGGGGTGGCTCAGAACTATTGGCTTGAATTGGAGTAGTAGTCTCAAATGGATTTACAGTCTTCCCCGATCTAGTAACTACTGACACTTCCTTCTTTGCAGTTGAATTTTCCCCGATCTGTATGCTAGGCTCATCGTAATTCCACGGCACTTGTTGCAGACTTAATACGGGCTCCTGCTTCGGGAATTCGATGACTACTGGTTCCAAAGCTTCATTCTCCGCTGGCGTGAGATCTAAGACAAAAGGCTTGTTATCTTCTTCGAATGGCAACTCTATGACAAACGGTCGGTCCGTGACCCCAAACACTTCAGCTTCTATTGCCAATTTCTTAATTTGTTCCTCGTACTCCGCATCGTCCATAATAACCCCAACGTGCTCTGGCAAGGGGTTTTGATTTACGTTTGGCCCTTGCGGCTCCCTCTTTCTGATCACGATTTCTCCAGACTCAACCATATCCTGAACTTTATGCTTTAGCGCCTTACAATCCAAAGTTGCATGCCCAGGTGCCCCTGAATGATATGCGCAAACAGCTTGCGGGTTATACCAAGCGGGCATGCCATACGGATAGGTAGGAGGTGGTACTGTACCAATTTTTCCGGAGGCCTTTAACTGGTCGTACAGTTGGTCTAAAGGCCTACCTAAATTGGTAAAAGTACGGCTTGGGGGTCGGTTGTAAGGTTCATGAGGTTGAGGATGATTGTAAACAGGTCTATTTGGAGGAGGAAATCTTGGGTTATATGGTGGACAAAGTCGGTTTTGGGGTGGATTTGGTTGGGAAATTTGGAAAGGGGCTAAAGGTGGGTTAGTATAGTTTGGACGAGGTCGAGGGTGGTGGATATTGGTAGTATATACATGGTTTGGGCTTGAATAGTAGTAAGGGTAAGGTTGTTGGTAGGTTGGGTTGTGTTGGCATCGGGGTCGGGGTGAAAGGTTGTGGTTCCAAACAAAGGTTGTATCTCCTTCTTTCTTTTTGAATGGTGGTTTCTTTTCACTGCTTCCTCGCCCTTGCAAAGCTTCTACTTGCGATTTCAGGGCAGATACATTAACAATTTTCCCAGCTCTTACAAAGTCGTCAAATTCTTCAAGTTTATTTACAATTGCAGCAAACGAACATCCGGTCATACGGAAAATCTCTTCGAAGTACGGCGGATCATGGGCCTTTATGAAAGTACGTATGATTTCATCCTCGGTCATTGGTGGCTCGACCTTAGCAGCTATCTTTCTCCACCTCTTAGCATAGGTCTTGTGGTCCTCAGAAGGCTTCCTTTTCGTTCCTTCCAGAGTAGTCCGGGTTGGCGCTAGCTCACAGTTATACTCATATTGTCGAATGAAGGCATTGGACAGATCGAGCCAGGTCTTCACTTCCTCTGGCTTTAGGTTGGAGTACCAATCGAGAGCATCCCCTTCTAAGCTTTCTGGAAATAATCTCAACGGCAAATTCTCGTCATCCACTGGCTTGCCCAACTTGTTAGCAAACAAGCGCAGGTGCGTTTTAGGGTTGCTGGTACCATCATATTTGTTGAACTTCGGGGTCTTGAACCCCACCGGCAGTTGTACGTTTGGAAATAGGTACAAATCATCGTAGTCCAGCACCCCTTGCTTGCTTAAACCTTGGCTCTTGCGGATGAATTCATCGAAACGATCCAATCGCTTAAGCAACTTTAGATCAACCGGGGCAGATGACTCTCCCATTTCTGGCTTGTTTTGAAAAACGTGCTCCGGCACAACGGGCTCTGCGGTAGTTTGGAAAAAAGTCGGTGGATTTACATGCATGTTTGGATCACCCTGAGGCTGGAATCCTTGCCCATAAGGGGGATAGAAAGGAGGATTTTGAGTATAAGCATATTGCGGGTTGAAAGTTCCCTCAAACGTGGTTTGAATTGGAGGAATAACAAATGGTAACGTGGTTTGAATTGGCGGAATAACAAATGGTTCGGATTGTGTTTGTTTGATGGGCGGAGACTCGGGTTGCACTCCGCTACTAACGAGCTCATCGATCAGTTTCTTTTGGGCGGCCATTTCAGATGCCATCTCCCCAAATTTAGTGAGCAATTCGGTCAACTGAACCCCGGGACTTGCAATCTCCGGCTGGGTCGTTGCAACGGTCTTTTCCGATGACTCTTGCTGGGTACTCATGTCTACACGATTCCTTTGGGCCTTACTTCGGGATCGCGTTATAATGGGGCTTCGTCGAGAAGCTATGTTTAAAATTCTACCTGAGAATTTGGAAAGGAAGTGCCTTTAGATTTTAGCCCTCGTTTAGCTTTTTACCAAAGTAAAATAAAGAAAAAGAAAAGAAAGAAAGAAAGAAAAAAACAAGAGTTAGTAAATATCCAAACAATTCGGATGCATGTCCTATTGGGGAGACCCTTTTTGTGCCAAGGGTAGGCCTAGTATGATGCAACACCTTCGAAATGGGACCCGTAACACAAACCTGTTTTTGACAACAATTCTGAATAAGTGCAAAAGAGAAATCGCTTTCATTGAAAGAAAATTGCCAATATTTACATCATATCACGAAGACGATTCCGTACAAGATCACCAAAGTTTTTGAGTCTATCTAATACAGAGTCTTTAGTTTCTCTAGCATATGGTCTCTTGACACGCTCGGCTTGATCATATAATTCCCCACATTTCCGCTTCATCTCTTGTCGCCTTTCTCGCTCCTCTTCATATAGCCTCTTGTTTTCCTCTGCTTTTCCCTTGTGTACTTCAACGGATTGCTTTAACTGCAAAACCTCCCTGTCTTTCAACTCAATTATGGCCTTCAGCCTTTCGATCTCCTCAACTGGTCCGTCTAATTGCCCTGATGTAGCAAATTTTGTTACCCAGTCTTCGTATTGGGGAGTCTTCAACCCCTTTTGCTGGAGTTCCGGGATGTATCTAAAACTTACGTCATCAGACAACGTCACCCAGGCGTCAATAATCCGATCTTTCATAGGGATTTGATTTGGGCACATTCCCCAGTTAAAAATAATGGTGACTTCGCTCATGTCAAACACGGGTGGTATTTCTTGAGTACGCCCTAATTGTCTGAGAAACCTTTTTGGGACGTACGCGGTAATCCCTTGAGTACCTAGTAGGAGAATGAATTCGGATGCCTGAGTGCGAAGAACAGGTTTGGTACAATCGGTCCAATCCAACACCCATCTAATATTTTGATCGGTCAGGTTCTTCAAGAAATCCACAAACTCAGCTGCATTACGCGGCAAACTGTCTCTGTTAATCCTCTTGTGATGTGTGGTTATCCAGTTGTATGCGAACATTGGTAGACTCGATGAAATAGCCGGTCGCCTCATGAAATGCTCCATTCCCCATATATGTAAGATCAAATTTGAACCACAAAAGAACTTTTTCCCTTTCTGACAGGTAGTGCAAGCTATGAAGATGTCGGCCAAAATGGTAGGAATAATGGAACACGGCCTACCATTAATTCCGAGAAACAAGTCATACAGGATTCTAGTGAGCTTGAAGGCTATCTTTTTGTCTTTCCTAGGAAAAAAGTAGGTTCCCGTCATGACTAAACCGTATACCCAGACTCTCTTTCGATCCCACGCTTCCTTGGAAGTAAACGAGAAGTCCCCTCGATGCCTCTCAAAACCATCTCTTAGCGCAAATCGATCAAATAAGAACTTCGCCTCTATATTTTGGTCTGCCCCTTGTAGTACTGATTCCTTTAACCCAGTGAAACGGCAAAATTCAACTATGTTAGATACTAGCGGCAATACCACGGCAGTTCCTTGAATCGGCAAATTGAGAAATCCGGCGACTTCCTCAATCGTTATGGTCATCTCCCTTTTTCCAACTCTAAAAGAAGAACAAGTGGGGTCCCATAGATGCACCAAAGCTTCTACCAAATATCCATCGGACTTAATGTCCTTGAAATCCCCGATGTGTCCTAAGCGATCGGCTATTTGGTTAACCTCGTTGGGTGAGAGTAATGTGGGCCATCTTTGTACCTCCGGCGGCACTACTAACATCTGTTGCACTCGGCGAGGACTTTCCATCTATAAACCAAAACCGGAGTCAAATACCTTACCTACAGGTCCCACTTGTCAGGTTTTGTACCTTACCCACGGGAGGATCAAGGTGGGCTAATCCTAAAAATGGGATCCCCTAAATGGCATTCCCTTTCTAGGGCTTATGCATGATGCCATTTATTAAAGCGGTAAAATATGCAATAAGACGTGACCTAAAGAACCCTTTATCTGCCAGGGTAGGCCTAAAATGGTATGGCATTATTAGTTTATGAACAAAATATACCATAATTGTTAAACATGTAACAGTTATCTATAAGGGTAGGCTCTAAAAGAAGGTCATGCCAGACCCCTTATTTCCTAATGTTTGTGAATGCAAAGGCAAAAAACAAAGAAAGTTAGTTTAACACATAACACGTTGGACAGTTAAATGATATAAAAAGCAGGAAAAATAAATAAGGAGAAGGGTGGGATCCCTCCCCTCGTGAGTGGTGTCTCTAATAGGGTAAGGCCGACTCTACCCTAGGTGAACTATATGGATGCATACGGTTGGGGTTCACTAATGCATCTAACTCGATAAGCTCAGGTCCCCAAGCCTTCAGACTCGTGGCCAAGGGTCATCACTCCCAAGGCCCTTTGTCGGTGGCTCGAGCGATTCCCCAAACACCGCTACGCACACGTCGTGTTACGGCTGCATGTTTGAGTGAATCTATAAAAATCCTCAACCTTCGACTAAAAACTAAAGGTTATTAACCCAAAGTTTAAAGCGGAAGATTGAGTGACCCATTGGATCGTGCTACGCGCACGTCGTGACACGATCACACGTCCAAGTGGGTCTCCTAATCCTAAAAGGGTGGAGTGGCGTGACAAGCCACTAAAAGAAAAATAAAGGGGGATGAATAGTAAAGCGTATGCGCGTATGATAGTGCACGTTTTGGAGGGGAGGGATCAAGAACCCACGCGAAGCTCTAAGGGTGACACACACCCCCCCAAATGCAATGCAAGCGCGAGATAATAAGTAAACATTCATTCAAACATACATTCATGAGTCGAGGGATTGGTTTGATTACGTACATAAGACAAAACGGTCCTAAAAATGAAAAATGCAATCCTAATATCCAAACGCTATGCATAAAAAGGGTAGAAAAGGGAAAAGAATGGCCAAATCAAATGCTCGGACCCACTTAGGAAGTCCCCAGTGGAGTCGCCAACTGTCGCGCCCCACTTTTCGATTCGAGTTGAATTATGTGGTGTGTGGTGTGCAATGTGTGAACGTGTGCAAAATGAAAAGTAAAAGGCCATGGGACTTAGAATGCGACGATTTGGCCAAGTGAAGTTCAAAAGGGTTTTTTGTATCAAAAATGGAGTCGCCACTTGGTATAGAGTTAGGGTGTACCAAGTCACCCAAAAATGATTTTTTGTTTTTGAATAAAAAAGTAAATAAACCCTTTTTAAGAACTTTTGGGTCTACGTAACCAAAAGAGGGATCGGGGGTCACATTTGACGAAAGGGAAGGCAAGGATAAAAATCCAAGGCACCCCTTCGACCTAGCCAAGGCTAGTTGCGTGACTTGAACCAATTTTTCCTAAATTTTCTACCCAAGGTATGTATCACGTATTGGATATGTCTATATGAATGCAAAAACCTAGACCTAGGGGGATTGGGGGAAATTTCTCTTCAAAGGTTGAGTGGTGCCAATCACATTAATTGTGAAGCCCAATAATGATCCTTTTGGAGAGGTCACACCTAAACCTAAATGACGTGAAAAATGAGTGGAATGCATGCCATGTGAAAGTGTGAGTTTGTGTGAAATGAGAAAAATGATAAAAGTAATAAGATAAGAGTGAAGGTGTGCAAATGTAGATGAAAGTACTCGTGTGCGAGTGAAGATAAAAATGTTCGTGTGCAAGTAAAAAAATGTTCGTGTGCAAGTGAAGGTGATAAAAAAGGTGCATGTGTGCAAATGAGACAAAAGTGAAAGTGTAATGATAGAGTGGATTGAGAATGCATGAGCCTAGGGAATTCATGCATATTGGGTACGGGGAGACCTAAATCGTGACTTGATTTTCCCTTTGATTAGAAGGCGGAACTAGCGTGCTAAGGCTATCGAGTAGCCACACTCGCTCGTTTCCCTTATCGGAAAGGGACACTCAAGCAAAATGAACCCTATAGCTAGTATGGGATGCAAAACCTAAAGTGAGGGGAAAAGGGGGTCGAGGATCATGCCAAATGATAAAACTAAGGAAAATGCGTGATATGTAGTGAACAGGCAAACAATGCATTAATAAAAAAACAAAGGAAAAATCCTATCGGGTCTAGCGTTGGACTAGCCCTTTCTATGAATTCCTAATAAAAATGAGCCACAACTAGCATTAGGCTAGTGTGGTGACGTACATTCATCCATTCCATTCATTCATGGTTATGAAAGCAAGTAGACATGCCAAAACGCTCGTAAACACGTAGCACGTAGCACTTAGCATGCTCGACTAGATGCAAGAGCCTACTAAAGCAATTTAACATGTAACAACAAAAGCAAGCAACCAAGGGGAAGGGGAAATGGACCAGATGCTCTCCGAGCCCTATCTATTACAAGCCGAGAGGTGTACACATACCCCATAAAAGCATAAAGGGGAAGGGAAAATGGACCAAATGCTCTTCGAGCCCTATCTATTACAAGCCAAGAGGTGTACACATACCCCATAAAAGCATAAAGGGGAAGGGAAAATGGACCAAATGCTCTTCGAGCCCTATCTATTACAAGCCAAGAGGTGTACACATACCCCATAAAACTTAAATAAAAGTAAAAGCAAGTAAATGCATGCAAGGAGGCAAGGAAAGCGAAGTAGACAGGCATATTCACATAACACATAAGGGCACATAGGAGAAACAAAAAAAGATAAATAAAGAAATTGTACCTCCCCCGTGTGTAATGCTAGTAAGGTGAACGAGACTCAACTTGGGCTATGGTCACTAAAGAAGAAGCTAATTTGGGCTAAAACCATTCAAAGGAAAGGATTAATGCACCAATATAATGATAAAAGATAAATATGACACTCGGAATCCATCAAACATCAAATCCGTCCTCACTTTGCAACTTAGAAATGATCAAATAAAATAAAATAAAAAAAAAAAAAACAAATTAGACCAAACGATCACCTA